GGCGTTGAGTCGCTCGCCTGGTTTGTTTTCGGCGTGTTGAGGACAAAGCATCCAGGCAACCTCCGACGGCATCGTGGTTGACGTCTGTAGTATGAACGATGAATTAAGAGTATGACTGTGAAAATGCTACGCGACGTATGCAAGGCTGACCACCCTTACCTTTTGACAGCGCGATTCGCGTTTAGACTTGCCTTGTGGGATGCGGTGTGCGGGCAGTGATGGCGTTTGGGGGCCAAATTTCCTTTGACAGCATAACAACTAGGTGGCACAGTTACCAAAACATTGGGTCTCGATGCTGGCTGTGGAGGCTGTGTTGCTCATGCGCTCCATCCCAAGCAATAGCATACCGCCTATCAAGAGATTGCGATAGGAACATTGTGTATGTTATAGGCAACGCGATTTGGAAGACCGGCGTGTTTTCTGCGCGTCGTCGTTTTGCCAAGGAATCGTGGCGGTACATTCGGGGCAATTGGGCAATAACGCGAAGCAGAGGTCGCAAAATCGCGTGCGCATGTGTGCGAAAGTTCGCCATGATTGGAATGAGATGGAGGAGAGATGGAGTGTCGTTCAGCAGCGGTTGAGTTGAGATGAGGTTGGAGTTGTGTAGTGCAAGGCTAGAGGCTCAGGCAGCGTGGCGGCGAATTGCGGGGAAGGCGCGACCAGTACTGCAGCCCCCGACGTCTGTGGATAAGCGAACCTTGATACATCTGATCTTTGAACTCTGGCTTACGAGAACATGGGCTGATTAGTATACTCAAGTTGAGTGAGCAAAAAGGCCCGGCCTGGCAAGAGGGCAATTGCCGAGAGAACGTGACCTGGCGATATGTGGCTCCGAGATCCTCGGCCCAGCCGTCGCGACTATGTTGCCCCACAACTTAAGTTAAGAGCTGTCTCCGCCTCCGCATTCACTCGCCATCTCCCCTAAACATCGCCCTCTTCTCTCACAAACCTCAATTAATCGCCCCTCTCTACCTTCACAATGACCGACCGCCTCAAGTCCATCGTTTCGCACATGACGCCCTCGGCCAGCGGCATCTCGGCCCTGTAAGCTCCACCCGGACAGACATGACACGTGAAGAACGCGCGGCGGATGATAAGGGAAGAATGCAGCGCTGACAGCCATCGACAGTACCACCAAGAACCCCGACGATGTTGTCATCACCCTCGCCTTCCGCACACCCCTCACCAAGGCGCATAAGGGCGGCTTCAAGGACACGACCCTTGACGGCATCCTCGTCAAGACGCTCAAGCAAGTCGTCGCAAAGTCGAACCTCGATCCCGCCGTAGTAGAGGACATCTGCGTCGGCAACGTCTCAGATGCCAAGGCTGCCTACTATGTCCGCGCTGCTATGCTTGCCGCTGGCTTCCCCAACACCACATCCGGCTCGTCGCTGAACCGCTTCTGCTCGTCGGGACTCAAGGCCGTACAAGACATTGCCAACCAGATCGCCGTCGGCAGCATCGAGTGCGGTCTCGCCATGGGCGCTGAGAGCATGACAGCCGGCGGCGACAGGCTCGAGAGGCCGTTCGTCGACGAGGTGCTCGAGAACCAGGAGGCGAAGGACTGCATGCAGCCCATGGGCCAGACGTCGGAAAACGTCGGCAAGGACTTCAACATCTCGCGCGAGCGCCAGGACAAGTACGCTGCCGAGTCATACCGGAGGGCTGAGGTCGCACAGAAGGCGGGCTGGTTCGACGACGAGATTGCGCCCATCACCACCCAGATCAAGGACCCCAAGACAGGCGAGGTCAAGACCGTCACCCTGACCAAGGACGAGGGTATCCGCGCCGGCACCACATTCGAGAGCCTGCAGAAGGTCAAGCCTGCCTTCCTTCCCCACGGCGACCGGTCACACGCCGGAAACTCGTCGCAACTCACAGACGGTGCCGCTGCCATCCTCATGATGAAGCGCTCCATGGCCGAGAAGCTTGGCCAGCCCATCCTCGCCAAATACGTCGGTGCCACTGTCGCCGGTCTGCCACCCAGGATCATGGGTATTGGCCCATCCGTCGCCATCCCCAAGCTGCTCTCCAAGTTCAACATCACCCTTGACGACGTTGACCTAATCGAGCTCAACGAGGCTTTCGCTTCCATGGCCGTATACTGTCTCGAGACACTTAAGATCGACCACCAGAAGCTCAACCCAAGGGGAGGTGCTATTGCGCTGGGTCACCCACTTGGCTGCACTGGTGCGCGTCAAATTGTCACTGGTCTAAGCGAGTGCAGGAGGCAGAAGAAGAAGGTTCTCCTTACCAGTATGTGCATTGGTACTGGTATGGGTATGGCCGGTCTGTTCATCAACGAGCAGAACGTGTAAGATATTTAGTTTGGTATATAGCGTTGTATATGAAGCCATTTTTTACCGTCTACATCGAACTTCACTCATCTTCCCCGGCCCATGCGTATTCAAATCCTTCCGTGGCGTCCTGCCTGCACTACTCCGCCCAAGCCAGGTGCACCTACCCGATCGCTTACTGTTCGATCGTTTTGTTGGCTGACACGCGACTTCCGAGCCAGAACACGGAAGGTAGTTTCCTTCTTGGGAAGGCGATTTCGTGTAGTCAACAACCCACTTTCCCTCCTGAATTATAACCACGGGAGCCGCGCATCTGCTCCAAAGGCCATCTCGATTTCGGCAAGCCCAGCATCACAGATTATCTTCCGGCATATCAACGCCAAGCCGCAAGTCCCCAGAACCATGGTACGCCAGGAAGCTGGGAATTTAAAATCTGCTCCATCAAGGAGTCCCTCTGCATACCATCATTTTCAAGCCTACCCGTATCGCACAAAAGCTTCCGACGTATCACCTGCACATTATCGGCGCGCGCACAACACATCCTCTTCTCTAAACACACGCAACAAGATCTTGAGAGACACTATCAAGACTATCAAGACATGTCGGATAACAGCAAAGACACTGTAAAAAGCCCTAGTGCGACGGCGAGCGTTCCGAGACGCGCAATACCCGAAACGATGTACGACCGCGTCAAGCACCTCCCCGAGTACAAGGCCTGGGTGGCTGGTGGTGGTTTGGCGCGATTCGCCAATGAACAAAATCTGGAAACAGATTTTGTAGATCACATATTCCGCACCAGCCCCCAGGTCCAGATTGCGTACGATAGAATCCTCCGAACGATGCCCAGCCTATTGCAGGAGATGACCCGGGATATGAGGCCAGAGCCGACGACCCACAGCCAGGCAACCGCACTCCAAGCAATAAACGATTACGAGCAAGGCAGTGGTTCGGCTGCAATCTCGGAGGACGATGATGACAGCGCCGAGAAGACGAGCAACCCCGAGAACACAAGCGAAAAGGAACCCGCGAGCAAGCAAGCCAGCAACGCTGTGAGTCGCAAGACTCGGTAGCCCTAGATACACCTTAATACCAAGACTAATACCGGGTACTTCACAGGATGACCACGAGGACTGGAGTTGGAGCGAGTTCATGACAGAAAACCGTCCCAATTCCTCACCTTTCAGATGCAGGAGAGCGCGCAACCTTCAATGGAGCAGCCCGACAAAGAGAGTTTCCACCCCGGCGGAAGGTAGCCCCGCGAAGAGACTGAAGCGAGAATGATCGCTACGAGCGACGTTGCGAGTCGCACTCGGCAGTCCTAGATACCTCTTGATACCGACCTTGGAAGAATCAGAAAAGATGTACCACGGAATCAAACACCTTCCTGAATACGAGACCTAGGTGGCTAGTGGGGGTCTGGCACGATTTGCAGAAGAACATGTGTCTTTATGACTATCACAATCCTCATGTTCGGCAGTCGTTCAATGACGTAACGGTTACCACTGCATACATCACAGCGACATACCTAAGTATACACCAACCCTACAATTACCATACCCGAAACACACCAAAAGATCCCATAAACACATCCCAAATATCCAATCCCCCGCCAAAATGCCACACCCAAGCCTCGAATACACCACCGTCCAACCCCCCTTATCCACCTACCCCCAAAACGCCACCCGCAACAACACCTCCGGCACCGACGCCTCCGTCCTCGATCGCCTTAAGATCCGCGAAATCTGCGAAGGCTGAGGCATGTACCGCGACGCCGCCGAGTGGCAAAACTACTCTTCCATGTTCCACCCCGGCGCCTACATCACCACATCATGGACGCAAGGCCGCCTCGACGACTTTATCGCATCCTCCAAAGAAGGCTTTGAGAAACAGACGCCACATGGCCCGTTCCCATATATTTTGCATAGGATTTGTGGCCAGACGGTCGATGTGCAAGGCGACCGAGCGATGAGTAAAATGAAAGTTACAATTACGTGTCGCATCATGCTTGACGGCATCGAAATGGATAATGAAGCCGATACCCGCTTCTTCTTTTTCTTATCTAAGAATAAGGCTGGGAAATGGGGTGTCAATTTCATGACTTTGTTGTTCGATAAGGATAAGATGGTTCCTGTGGTGCCGGGCAAGGCGTTCGATGTACCAGAGGAAGAGGTCAGGCGGTATCCGAGTGGGTATCGGTATCTGGCTTGGGCGGAGATTAAGGCGGGGAGGCCGCCGAAGATGGATTTGAATGCGCATGGGCCGGAGAGAGATTTGTTGTATGGGAAGTGTAAGATTTGGTTGGAGGGAGGGGATGTTAGGCCTAATCTTACGGGGAAGGATTTGGAGGGGTGGTAGATTGTAGGGATGGGATGATAGACAGGGAGATAGATGATCACGAAGTAGTCGAAGATCTTGTGAAAAGCCAAAGGGATCCATTAGAGATACGCCAGTGATACTCGATGCGCAAAAACAATAGCTAATAACTCCCATGAGAGTCGAACTCATAACCTTCACGGTTCAAGTGGGCCTTCCACCCCGGACGCGTCCGTTCCAAGATGAAGGCGGCGCTTGAATAGAAGCGTGATGCGCTACCATTGCGCCAGGGAGTCTTCTTTTCACTTATGAGATATCCCATGACCTTACAGATCATATACTAGGTTCTTTACATTCCGAAGGCACCAAATACGTACGACGAGATGGCCTCTACGCAACGTCTTCAATCTTCACACCCTTCTGTTTCTTCTCCATCGGCTCCTCCTTGACCACTACCCCCTCGTGGTCAATCGGTTCCTGCGGCGTCTGATCGCGCTTCCTCTTCCTAGGCTTACGCTCAGCCTTGGGCTTAGGTGTCGGCGTATCAGGTGTTTGCAGCCTATCATTTGGAGCAGCTACAGTCCTTGGGTGTGGCACCTCAGGAATGATGTTGTAGTGCTGAAACATTGGTGTCTTAGGCATGAGTCGCCGTGTCAGTTTGTCGTGGTACACCGCACCTGCTTCTCCGAAGATGGGGCTGTCGAAGTTGTTGGTTTCTATAGCTTCGAAGATCTCATCGATGTCCTCTTGGGGTCGGGGAACTATTTGGACTGGCGGATGGTTGACGGGCGTGGCCGTGGGTGTTGGACATTGAGGCGGAGTGTCTGGCCTTGGATGATGAGCTTGGGGCGACTCCTGCGGACGTTGATCACCTGTTCGTGATGCGGCCTCTGGGGAGGCTTGGCTGGCTGGCATTCGCTCCGTAGGTGCCTGCGGTGGAAACAACTGATCATACAGTGGCGGCGGGGAAGGCATACTTAGTGTAATCGTAGGTAGATTTGATAGAACACTAGTCGCACTTGCATCTTCCCCACTGCCCAGACGAGCTTCACCTTCTGCAGATGGTGTAGGCATCTGTGCGTCTATCTGAGTATCACAGACCTGAGGCGAAGAGTGAACAGCTTCGGAGACATGTTGTGAAGTCGCTACTGCTTCTTCTGGGGATTGCCTATTCGATTCGCGGGCGGTTTCCATCGAGTGTAGATAACTTTAGCTGTTGGAGTTGTAGAGTTATGAGTTGCGGAAGTGGAGCGCATTGGCTGGTCAAGATTAAAGTGAGAATCAAGCGCGTTCACTAAGCCGGTAGCTGGGATGTGGACGAGCCTCGAGCATTCACCAGGGTCAATGGTGACTCAGCGGCTGATTAAGAAAGTACTATTCACTTCCGCGTGAGTTGAAAGCGCTTTGCACGGGTCTTGTTTGTGCGTCTGGAAGGTAGTAGGCACATCAAGTGGCCAGAAGAATCTGCCACGGCTGCCCCATCTGGAAAGAACGGTGAATACGAATAGTGCCATCCCGGCCGACGGCGATTCCACATTATCAGATACAATTGATCTAAACGCACGTCATAAACTGAAAATGTTCGTTCGAAGACGAAGTTGATGCATGCTGACATGGGGTCGATGGGCGGGAAAAATGCTGCGTCGCGGTGGTGCGAGCTTTGCGCCATCACGGACCAGCCGAGCCGAAGACTTCCCTACACCACGGGATGCCATGCGACAACTTCAGTACTTTCGCAAGGAACTGTGCTGCCCGAAAATGGAGATGACGGAAGATTGTGTTAAGTTCTGAGATGGATTGGGATGGAACAATGTTGAGGTACGTGAATAGCGATCGATGATGCGGCTAGATTTTGACCGACCAATCAGCAGCGACTTGCTTCAAGTCGAGCACATCGACGACTTTGAGGGTCCTTTCTTCTATCGCGTCTTCAGTAAGCACAGTGCAACGATCTACCAACCGAGATCATCAGTTGGCGCGAGGCTGTTTCAGGCTGAATGTGTCTTTTCGGATAATCGTTCCAGCCTGGAATGCATAGAAGAACACCTTCGTCTTCGCGACACACAAGCTAGTCCGTTCATATCGGTCTTCAGTGACTTCGGTGGGATAGATTGTCTTTCAGTATGGCTTTCACACTGACTGTTAGCAGCTGCAGCGGTGCGTGAAGCGTATGATCTTCATATTCGAGGTCACGATGCTATTCAGATAGTCCAGATCCATGCTTCAGGCTTGGTGATCGATATGATGAGTCCAGCTGGTGATTACGGTGCTCTGATACCCACATGGAAGGGCGCAAAAGGTCGCGAAGACAGGTGGCTTTGTATGGCTGATCTTGGACCACGCCTCGGTCTCGATCCCAGATACATCCGCCCTTCAGAATGGCTGGCGAGTGGTTCAATATCCAAAGCTCGGTTCTCAGCGGCCTGGCCAATCATTGGAGGACGACTGTACTTCAACGAAGGGAGGAGCGAAGACCTGGTCGACTTCTTTGAGGGTGTATGCGGGCATGTGCCAGAACGTTTCCCAGAGCATGATGTGTCTGAGCGATACGAATACGACTGGGAAGGCGAATGCTTTGTTGGAACTGAACGTTGGCGCGATACGGGCGCGTCAATCCAAGAAACAAGCGTGGCGGGCGCGGGACTGGGGCTTGGACTTGCTGTTTCACAATTTGCGCGGCCGACGCCATTCGGGTATGCCGGCTATCTGCGTGGAATGGTTGTGATGGACTGATGTATCATGTATCTTGTAAAAGTATTGTACGATTAGATGAGGTGACCCTGGAAGGAGATCTGCAGGCGGAAGGCAGCAATGGTACTAGGCTCAGATAGGACAAGCGGGTTACGTCTTTCCGTCGTGACATCTGGACGCATGTCAGCAGCCCCTCTTCTCTACGACAACATTATCGAAGTACGGTCAATCGTTGCATACCGAAACTTTCGCGCCTAAGAGATCTCTTTGATAAAATGGACGCTGTGTAAGTAGCCATATTACCTCTCGAAACCCGGTTCGAAACAGCACTAATATCAGCGTAGCACATTGCATAACCAGATTGAATCGCCTCTACTACGCTTGCCTGCAGAACTTCGCAATAGGATCTACGAATACGTCTTCCGTGTGGACTGCATCAATTTCTTTAGAATGGAAACTTGGGATTACAACTCGAGCAAAGACTCGAGGCCTGATTACAATCCCAATCCCGTGCGTGGGACAAAGCCAGCTTCACAATCCCTATCCTCGCTTCTCAAATCCCTACTAGTATGCCGCCAATACTATGCGGAGACCAGATTACTGGTATTCAAGCTGAGTCCTCTCTGTGGACGTCCCAGAGATCTACTTGACGCCGTGGAAAAAATGCCCAGGGACGTGCGAGACGCCATTCCAGTCCTTCGCATCTACGAAAACAGCAACTGGACGAGATTTTACCGACAGTTCTACCTCCCGACAGATCTTCCTAACCTGCAAAAAGCCGAAGTGCATTCTTGGGCTCCTAAGGTCGTGGGAGATCCGCTCTTGTTTGCCCATGGATGGAACAGACGTCATGCTCCAGAGGACAACGAGGTTTTGCGCTTGAGAGTTGAGAAATTTTTCAGAGATCTCGATTTGAAGGAAACTGAGGATGCGCTCATTGAGGTTCTAAAATGGGTCCCCGGTTCGGTTGAGAAAGGACTTGAAATTACGTCGATTGATGCTCCGACTCCCTGTTACAAACACGTCATGGGGGATAGGTGGGAGGTCATTTAGGATTGGGCGGTGTATGCGGGAACCTTGTAGTTCAGTACACAATACTTACTACTTCTCTGATTTGTTCGGATATCTTTTCGTCTAGGTCGTCGATGTTGTGGAAGTTGTGAGTTAGTCCACCAAGGACTTCTACTATAATACCGCACTTTGCGCATGTATTTAGTTTTAGAAAGCCCGTAGCTGTTGTACTATTACACTTACTACGATATATGCACCTTCGCCATACACTTCAAGTTCACAGCTTCCGTAGGATCAGTACGCGCCCACCTCCAGCATCTTTCCGATACTGATGCAAATCCGTCTCTACAATCTCAACCTTCTCCTCCTTCTCCAGTCTCTTCACTTCATTCTCAAACCCCTTCTCCACCCAGAAGCTATCTAGCACCGTTGCGACTACAACCCCACCATCCTTGACAACTCTTACGAACTCCTCCAACGGCTCCGGCCCTAGGTGACCATGCGTGAAAGTACCACAGCACGTCAGCGCGTCAAACTTGCCGTCCTCAAACTCCAATCCCTTCGTCAAGTCCGCGGTCGTAAGGTCATCGTACACGGCGGTGTTCTTAGCAACAGCTAGCATGCCTTCGCTGATGTCGAGACCTAAGATATCCGTAGCGCCAAGCTTGGAGAGCTCGATACCAACAAGACCGGTACCGCATCCTGCATCCGCAATCTTCAGGCCAGCGAGAGGCTTGTCGGGTGAGATGTGGTTTAGCTTCAGGCCGCGGGCTACTGCTTGTGCGACGAGGCGTGGCGCGGTGAAGTCGTGCAGAGTCATGTCGGAGTCATATGTCTTCGCCCATTCGTCGTATAGTTCGCGCGACTCTTCGGTGGTTTTTGCGGCGAAGACGCGGTCTAGCAGCGACTTCTCGTCTGACGTCGCCATATTGACAGTGTGATGGTTGTCGTGCTTCTAAGGTTCTGTGAACGGCAATTCTATGATGCTTGTATGCAAAGAAGAAATGCCTGAGGATAATTGAGGTCGTTGTTTGTGATGAAGCGGTACCTGCCAAGGGAGTTGGAGGTCTATGGATAGTTATCACGCGTGACGTCATCAATCGCGATAACTGATATCGCGACACCACCTGGACACTTGGGCAATGCACAGATGTCATAAATCAACAAAATGACTCTCGGAAGAGTAGATACAGATCATTGACCTCAAATTTATGGTGCCGTGTTCGCAAGACTTCATACAGTAGCTGCGCAAAGCTATGAGACTGCTATGCGCTGGGCCAGGCGGAACCCAAGTGACCTCGGGAGCTACTAGCGACGTCTTAACGCGATAATTTCTTCGCAAGATGTAGTACTATCCAACTGCTACGGCTAAGAAGTCTTAATATGCCCGGCAGCACCTGCGTATGCCGCCACTCTCTTCCTAAATTCTTCGGTCCTCTCCGGTTGTACATCTCCTTCCAAGTTTAGCACAAGAACGGTCTTCCAGTCTGGAAATCTGCACAATGCTTCCAAATTGACATCGTATCCAGATTCCTTGAGCCGCTTCAGCGAGCGATCATTGAACACCGACAATTTCTTGACACATGCGACTACGTCAGCAGGTATGAGGTTTTTGATTATTGCAAGTTCCCCAAAACTGACATGAAGTGGGTTCAACGAAAATGGCAAGAGGGCAGTTTCGTTGTAAATCTGGCGGCAGACCATAGAGGGGGAAAGGAGCCGGTCTAAAGACTCGTAGCAGCGGTACTGGCGACAAAGCTGATGAAAAACTCTGATGAGGAGACGATCTCGAGCCACATGTAGGATATCAATGAAGTAACAAGCGGATGTGTACCCATAGATCTGATTTCGCAGCTCTCGCGGTAGGCGTAGCAACGGAGAGGCAGTCTGATTCTGGGTTGTGCTTTTAGAGTCAATAGTTGCCGGAATACAATGACAATTTGATAATAGTGCTTACATCTCGTTTGCTTCAGATTCCGACAGCTTGCTGGTAGAAACGTGCTTATTGCGACGCAGGTATTCCAAGAGAGAACGGCTGCAGACGCGTTGTGTGCCACGACATTGGCATGACATATCTTGGATGTGTACAGTGGAAATGGATCTTTTCAAGTCGATAAGCCAGATGAGCTCAACCAGTCCTGATACGAGGTAACTTGAGGAACTTGTTGGGAAATGCAGGCCGTGTATTTAAACGAACGATTGTTTGAGGGGAGGTAATCGCACATCATGCGGACGAAGACAAATCTGAATCACAAACGCCATGGACCGCCAGGTGACCACTACAGTATTAGCTTTGTTGAAGGAACTGGATCGCATGCTTGCC